GTGTGTGTGTGTGTGTGTGTGTGTGTGTAGGTGGAGAGGAGGGAGAGATACTGCAGCTTGTAAAGGAGCTAAGGGTGAGTTTTAAGTTCCTGTTTATCCTTCCTATCCTTCCTGCCCAACACCAGGTGCGTTACCTTCTGGAGTGGACAGAGGAGGACCTGGATGAATCGGAGGATGCTGTCAGCATAGGCGATGTTGAATTTTGTCACCCCTTGTGCCAGTGCCCGAAATGTGCTCCAGCTCAAAAGGTTTGGCTTTGCTTCCATTGGTGCAGCTGGGGGTGGGGGTGCGGAGGCAAATTCTTCTTTTCCGCTTAGGAAAGTTGTCTGCTTCTCAGCCAACCAGTTACTGAGTGGGTGCTAGTTGGCATCCCTTGAGATGTGGTGAGGTTTAGTTACTTAGCTCAGGGAGGAGAGACACACTAGTGTGGAACTGCCGTGGGCGGCTGACTTTCTGAATGGGCAGGTCAGGGAGCAGAGGAATGCACATGTGCTCAGTGTTTCAGCTCCTCTGGGCCCCTGAGTCACGAGGCAAGAGTTTATGGCTGAGGGTGTCTGTCTACATGGCTGCCAATTCCTTGAGGAAGCTGCATTCGAGATCCATTGCCCACTGTCTGTGCTCAAGTTGGTCCACCTTCTGCGGGAGGACCCACCCTCCAAATACAGAGGATCCTCTGTGCCCTTTCCCCAATCTCCCCCAGTGGTAATAGCTTGCAAAGCCATAGGATGGTATCCTAGCCAGGATACTGACCCAGAAACAATTCACACATCTTATCCACATTTCTTTGATTTTCCTGGTGCTCACATGTGCATATGCACGTGTGCCTGTGTGTTCACTTTGATCACACGCATAGCTTTGTGCATCCACCACCACATCGAAGGTACCAACAGGCTCCCTCACTATGGGAAGAACTACTCACGTTGCCCTTTCCCACACCCATCTGTCCCCCTGCCACCCCCTAACCCACAAGTTCTGAGGTTGAGGTTGAGGTTCATTTTTTTTTGCCTGTGGATGTCCACCTGTTCCATACCACTTGTTGGAAAGACCGTCCTTCCTCCATTGACTCGCTGTCCCACCTCCACTGATAATATACGGTGTGGGTCTCTCTCCAGGTTCTGCATTCCGTTCCACGGATCTGTGTGTCTGTCCTTCTACCAGTTCCATGCTGTCTCGATTACTGGAGCTATAGGAAGCTTTAGTATTGGGTAGAGCCATTCTTCCTAACTTGTTCTTCATTGCCAGGATCATTTTAGCTAGTCTACGCCTGTGCCTTTCCGTATATATTTTAGAACGGGTTTGTTTATGTCTACCAAAAATCTTACTAGGATTTTGGTAGGAATTACATTAACAACCGTAGATCAAGTTGGGGAGAAATGACATCTACTGTGTGGACTTCATGAATATGGTATATCTCTCCAAATATTGTGGCCTTCTTTGATTTCTCTATCATTTTGTGATTTTTAGCATACAGGTCCTGCCCATGTTTTCTGAAGTGTATACCTAAGTATTTCATTTTCTTTTGAGAAATCATAAACGGTATTTTGCATAGAGTATGCACTTTTGTGCTAGCTACCTAACTCGATGTGTATGTCCCATACTGAGAAAATTAATTTGACTCTGCAAAACAGGCATAGTGGTGTTGTCCTTTGTATTACAAGATAATACTGCCTTATTTTAAAAAGCTTCACCATGGGTTATTCCAACCCAATAACATTGAAATTAGTAAAACTTTCATTCACGTGTAGCTTTTCAGCTCGCTCCAGGGTCACGTGTACGTTGGGGATGTGCAACTCTTGTTCTGTCTCGATGCTGCTGGATGGGGACAGCCCAAAGAATGATTTCCCCTGTGCAGACTGCTATGAAAAGCATAGGGATTAAAAAAGGCAGATGATGTTTCGAAGGGTACTAGTGAAGTGACCGTACTTCAGGCCCGGTCCGGGACTGAGTGTGGCTAGAGGCAGCTCCTGTGTCTGTCACTGCTCTTGCCATTTGCCTGCACTCTGTTCTTCCCCACCTCACGGTTCATACGTTACAAGAAACTGGAGTACACATTAAAATAACTGCTAGATTTATTGAGTAAAATCTTAACGTTCCCTGCTTTTTTAAAACCTTTTTCTCATTTTGAAATTCCTCAAAAAGACCTAAAAAAGACATTTATATGGAGATTGCTTCATGTCTGTGACTTAGCTAACCACCCCCTGGCCCCACCCTCTTCTAGCCCACTGGTGTGTTTAGAGTGTTTGTTTAAAAAACCTTTATTGAAGTACAATTTACACCCAGTAAAGTCCTATGTACTGTGTACAATCCATTGAGTTTCTGCATGAAGCCATGACCGCAGTCCAGATCCAGAACACTCCATTACTTCTGAGGGTTTTCTTGGGCTTCCCCACTTCCTCCCCTGTCCCAGGCAACACCCGGGGTCTGCTGTCTGTCATCACAGACTCGTTGGCATTTTCTAGAATTTTATGTGAGTGGAAACCAGACAGGACCCACTCTTTTGAATCTGGCTTCCTTCATGCAGCAGAATGTTTTGAGATCCACACCAGGTCAGTGGATTCCTTTCTTTTTACTTCTGGATAGTATTTTGTTGAATATACTAGAATCAATCGAATCACCCGTTGAACATTTGCGTAGTTTCCCGTTTGGGGCTTTGTGAAGAAAGCTAGTGTGAACATTTGTGAACAAGTCTTTGTATAAATATGTTTACTTGGGTAAATACCTCGGGGTGTAATTGCTGGATTATGTAGTAAGTGTGTGTGTAACTTGATAAGAAACTGCCAGTTTTCCAGAGTGATTTTCCATCTTCCATTCCTGCCACTAGTGTGTGAGAATTCTTTCTGGTTGCCCCACATCCTTGTGAGTATTCAATTTTAGCCATTCCTGTAAGTGTGCAGTATTTCATTGTTTTTTTTTCTCCCTACTTCATCTGTTTGTTTTTTTGTTTTTTGAGGTACAGTTTACATGCAGCAAAATTTACCCTTTTAACGCAGCATGCAACTTTTCCAAGAGAAAACCTTTTTAATCATCAAAAAGTGAACTAGATAACCAAAGTTTTCATCTTTGGGCAGTCACCTGGAACGCTGACATAGCATTTTTATTATTAGAATGTAGGATTCAGTATCATAATTTAATGTTTGTTTTCATTTGTATGGTTTATAAATGTTTTGTTTGTCCTTTTAATTACTGATTGTTTTTCTACTGGCACGATTGATTTTAAAACCACTGCGAATCAATAGAGACTGTCTCCATGATATCAACATTTGTCTTTTGTTTTTCTAAATCTTGTGCCTATCTTTTTTTTAAAAGTTGGATTGTCTAATGGAGTTGTAAGAATCTGTTGCTGTTTTTAAATTCTGGTTGGTACACGTCCCTTGTCGGGTCCACGTAGTGCAAACATTTTCTCCCGCTCCGTGATTTGCCTTTTCATTTTCTTGTGTCTTTCAAAGAATAACCACTTAAAATTTGCATTAAGTCCAGTTCATCAAACTGTTCCTTTATGGTTTTTGCTTTTTGTGTCTTATCTAAGAAATCTTTATCACAGTGTTGCAGGGATTTCTTGTGTACTCGCTTCAAGAAGTTTATAGTCGTAGCTCTTACATTTAGGTCTACGAGGCATTTTTAATTTTTATGTGTGGTGAGGGTTGATGTGCGGTTTTTTCATATGTGGATATCCCATTGTTCAGACGCCATTTGTGGAACAGACTTCCTGTTTCCCATTGAATCGCCTTGGCATAAAGAGGGCATCATTTCGGGGGGCTTGCTCTTTTGGAAATGGAAGTAATCCTTTGGTATATCTTACCTTTCTAAAGTTGTAGGAATTCACCTGTGGGCAACCTGATTCTGGATCCCACTGTGATCCCAAATTGTGCACAGAGGCTGGGGGTGGGGGACGACACAGATGGCTTCAATTCCTTCAGCCCAGTTTCTTTTTTCTTTTTTTTTTTAAAGATTTTATTTTTTTGACAGAGAGAGAGACAGCGAGAGAGGGAACACAAGCAGGGGGAGTGGGAGAGGGAGAAGCAGGCTTCCCGCTGAGCAGGGAGCCCGATGCGGGGCTCGATCCCAGGACCCTGGGATCATGACTGAGCTGAAGGCAGATGCTTAATGACTGAGCCACCCAGTGCCCCTTCAGCCCAGTTTCTTAAATACTAATGATGTTTCTCTCTCCATCTTCTGCATTTAACTAGAAGCTGGCAAAGATTCCTGCCAGTGGACTTGGTGTGAATGTGACCAACCAGGACGGCTCCTCCCCATTGCATGTTGCTGCTCTGCATGGGCGGGCGGACCTCGTCCCTCTCCTTTTGAAACATGGTGCCAATGTGGGTGCCAGAAACGTAAACCAAGCTGTCCCGCTCCACCTGGCCTGCCAGAAGGGCCACTTCCAGGTATGGGTCTTTCTCCTGGGCAGAGGGCCTGGGGTGCTTGCTCTTGGTTAGAACTGTCCGTGGTGGGAATGCTGCAGAGAGGCAAGTTTGGGGGTGGGCCCAGAGGACAGACACATTTCTTTCTTCCCAGCCCCGAGATTCTGTGCTGCATGGGGCAAGACTGCTCAGCAACAGAACGCAGAACTCTGGTGCTTCTGGGGGTGGGCCCTCCCCTTCCCCACCTCATCCCCGTCCCCCCAAATCCACTGCCATGCACCTCTCAGTGGCACAGAGGCCTCCTCCTGATTCTGACCCCAGCAGGAGCTGTCTCTGGTGCTTGGGTGTTGGTCATTGAGGGCTCTACTTGCAACTTGGCACCTTTCATCCCCACAGCCCTTGGTCTTTGTCAAACAGTTTAAGACTTTATTTATTTATTTATTTTTAAGATGTTATTTATTTGAGAGAGAGAGAGGGCAGGGGGAGGGGCAGAGGGAGAAGCAGGCTCCCCACTGAGCAGGGAGCCCAACGTGGGGCTCAATCCCAGGACCCCAGGATCATGACCTGACTTGAGCTGAAGGCAGATGCTTAGCTGACTGCACAACCCAGGCACCCCAGTTTAAGTACTTTATAAAGTAGAGAATGGCCCTAAGGAGGAGGTGCAAGAGAGAATTGTGAAATGATTTGAGTTTTTCAAAGTCCTAAATTTCTTTTTGAAAATTATCTATTTAAAACAATTTTTCCCTTACTAGCTGTACCATAAGCTTTTAAAAGACGGGAACCAGGGGTGCCTGGCCGGCTCAGTCAGTAGAGCATGTGACTCTTGATCTCAGGGTCATGAGTTCCCAAGCCCCATGTTAGGTGTAGAGTTTACTTAAAAAACAAAAATAAAAAATAAATAAAAGGAACCAAATCAGATCTTCCATCTCTCTCGTAACACCTAACATAGCACTTCAAATGTCAGTTTTCCAGTCTATAAAACTGGAGTGATAATTCCAGCCCTCCATACATAGGGCAGGACTAATGATGAAATGAAAAAAAAAATAGTGCCTAGCACATTGCCTGGTGGAGGAGATCCTCAGCAAATGTCTGTTGCATCCCGCTTGAGTTGGTCGGCTTTCTCCCGAGTCAAACATGTGTCCAAAGAGCCTTCCCAGTAAACTTAGAGAAGAATAAAAAGGATATCAAGTTAGAGGATTTCTTCCACAGATTTAAACAAGGTTGGAATTTTGTCTTCTCTGGGCTAGGTGGTGAGGTGTCTATTGGATTCTAATGCAAAACCCAATAAAAAGGATGTAAGTGGAAACACACCCCTCATTTACGCCTGTTCCAACGGCCACCATGAAGTCGCGGCACTGCTGTTACAGGTAAGGGCCCCCCAGCCCCGGAGCTGCTGGGTACTCGTCAGTCGTGGGTGCCTCATTTTCTGGCATCCCCCCCCTTTTTTTTAAGAGAAAGAGAAGCAGCGTATGGGAGCCGGGGGTGGGGAGGGACAGAGGGAGAGGGAGAGAGAGGAGAGAATCTTCAGCAGGCTCCACACAGCACAGAGCCCGGTGCAGGGCTTGATCTCACGATGCTGAGATCATGACCTGAGCTGAAATCACGAGTTGGACACTTATTGAGCCACCGAGGCACCCCTCTGGCATTCCTTTTGATTGCACTGTTTCTCCTTCTAGCACGGGGCCTCCATTAACCTCTCTAATAATAAGGGTAACACAGCACTGCACGAGGCGGTGATAGAAAAGCATGTCTTCGTGGTGGAGCTGCTTCTGCTTCATGGGGCATCAGTTCAGGTCTTGAACAAGAGACAGTGCACCGCAGTAGACTGTGCTGAACAGGTGAGTGGGGAGCTCCCTTGCAGCTCACTCTGGCTTCCCCATGGTTAAACCACATCTGAAATAGCAGGAGCCAACCTTTGAATCGCGATGCTGGGATAAGTCGGTGTGCCGGGAGTCTGCAGGTGCGGTCGAATATCCAGTCCTTGGTCCCCGGGTCAGAGGTGGTCTGCTCGGGGAGCCAGGAGTCAGTCTTTCAGGGCTTGCTTTCAAAGGGCTGAGTGGAGGTGCTCCCCCGACTGCTGCAGGTGTCGGCGCCTTGTTCTGGCCCAGGGATGAGCCATCTGGTGCCTCCAGGGAAGCAGCGAGCTGAGACCATGTTCTGGGCTCACGCTCCCTGCATGGGGACTGCACCTGCGGTCTTAGCACACCGGAGAGTGTTCAGTTGTGATTCTAAGTCTCCTGGAGTTATTCTCCCTGTAAGGGGAATTGTGATGACCAGGTCACCCCTCCTTCCCGTGCTGTGGGTGTTTGCACAGGGAACTGGTGAGAAGGCTTCCTCTCCTGGGAGGAGCAAGCTCTCTACTGTCCCCATTTTCACATTGAGTCTTTTTGTTTTTGACTCTGGGTAGACAGCTGGTAGGCTGTTAAGTGACACTGGTGTCATGTAAAAGTCACCATAAACCCAGCATACTCATAGCCTTATCACGTTTTCAGTGATATTTCCTGACAGAATCGAAATATTTTAAACCTTCCATGAGCAATTTCTCAAAAGATGATGAGTGTTTTTTATCGAGTACTTACTATGTGCTGGGCCGTCGATAACCCCATGAGACCTCTGCAGTAAGAGATCCCGTTATCATCAGCCACATAGCACAGAGCAGCTAAGTACCCGGCCCGGATTCCCTAGTAGAGGCCGAGCCAGGCTCCAACGGCAGGGCTGCTCCTCACCACGAGGCTCAATGGCATCAGCTTCGTCTGTAGCTGCTGCTTAGCTTCTCTGCCCAGCCGCCCCAATATTGACAGATCAGAAACAGCCAATAAGCTGCTAAGAATTAAAAATACTAATTGTTACCTTTTCCCTTTCAAATTGTAGAATTCAAAAATAATGGAATTACTTCAGGTAGTACCGAGCTGTGTGGCCTCAGTAGACGATGTTGGCGAAACAGACCACAAGGAGTATGTTACTGTTAAGATCAGGAAAAAATGTAAGAATTTACATTCTCTCTGTAATTCTCAATATGGGCATATTTGGAAATTCATGAGTAGTTGCTCGTGTTCATTTAATTGTGAATGTGGAATGTCATTATACTCATGACTCGGGGCAGGATAGGAGCACCAAAGAAATGTCACAACCTCGCTCATCAGCTTGTTTTGCTACTGGTTTTCTGGTTGATCGGGATGATGCTTCCTAAGGGAATAAGGTGGCCACTCAGCCTCACCTTTGACGGCTCAGGCGTCCCCCACCAGCTGGAGAGAAGGAGCAGCCTCTGGGAGATTCTTACATGCCGCATGGCCCAGACCCAGGCCTTTTTCTAAGCATTTCCTGGACATATGGGGCTCAGCGTTTCCTGCTAACTTTAAACGTTTTTATTTACTTATTTGCAGGTATACAGAGATTGTTGGTAATTAGAATAGTAGTTGCTAAACATGGATAGGGTTGAAGTATTTTCTTTCTTTTTTTAGTTGTTAATAGTCTAGATTGGGTCCATGCTCTACTCTTTTTTTTTTTTTTTAAATCAATCTCTACACCCAACATGAGTCTCAAACTCACAAGCCCGAGATCAAGAGTCGCACCCTCTACCACCGACTGAGCCAACCAGGCGCCCCTCTGGAATAATGTGAATAAACCCACTTCCACCTCAGTAATCCCGAGGCTGCGTCATCACAGTTGCCTGTAGCTGGAGAATATCCATGTGTTAATAAGGATGTATCTTTCCGGGCGCCTGGGTGGCTCAGTTGGTTGGGCGACTGCCTTCGGCTCAGGTCATGATCCTGGAGTCCCGGGATCGAGTCCCGCATCGGGCTCCCTGCTCAGCAGGGAGTCTGCTTCTCCCTCTGACCCTCTTCCCTCTCGTGCTCTCTCTCATTCTCTAATAAATAATAAAATTTTTTAAAAAAAAAAAAGGATGTATCTTTCCTTACCATGGGGGTTCACACAGTAATAAATAGCTACTAATATGTTTCTTTAAGCAGATAGCAGTGCTTAATTTTCTAAATTTTGTTAAGCTAAGAAAATTGAAAGGTTGGGGCGCCTGGGTGGCTCAGTTGTTAAGCGTCTGCCTTCGGCTTAGGTCATGATCTCAGGGTCTTGGGATCGAGCCCCACATCAGGCTCCCTGCTCAGGTGGGAAGCCTGCTTCTCCCTCTCCCACTCCCTCTGCTTGTGTTCCTGCTCTATCTCTCTCTCTCTATCAAATAAATAAATAAAATTAAAAAAAAATCGAAAGGTTGCATCTGTGATATAACTCAAACTACTTTGGAAGTTTTCAGATGTTTATCCTTTTTTTTTTTATCTACAGGGAACTCAAAAATGTACGATCTACCAGATGAACCTTTTACCAGACAGTTTTACTTTGTCCACTCAGGTGGTCAGTTTAAGTGAGTATAAAATTTGAGTTGATTTCCATGCCTTTGACCCCACCTTTACTTACAACTCAGGCCAGGTATGTGCCCCTTCAGTGGGTTAGAGAAAATCTGCACTCACCAAATGCTGCCACCTCGTGGCCAACCAGAGTGTTTCACGCCACTATTTCAGACTGATTTCACTTTGTTTCCGGTTTCAGGGGAAGGACTTCAAGGGAGATTATGGCAAGAGATAGCAGTGTCCCTAATTTTACTGAAGACTCTTTGCATGAGGTGAGTTATTCAATCCTGGCTTATCATATTTCTTAAAGCCTGGCTTTTCCAAAACGACTCTACGGTGAACACATTTCTCATTTCATGATTCCCTTCTTTGCAAGAATTTGTAACAAGATGAGTTCGTTAGTGGGACAGCCAGGAGTACAGACTTCATTTATTGAGAAAGGAGAGTGAGGGGAAAATGGGAAATAGGGGTACGCGTGGAGATTCTGGGGCTTATGGTGCGTGTACTTGGTGAAACAGCTCAGCTGCCGGTAGTGTGGGAATCACTGATGTCAGGAGGAAACCAAGTTTATATATAGATGGGTAAAAAACTTCTCCAGATGTGGTCTAGAGTTGCTCATATGGACAATTCTGCATGTGTCCATCTTCCTACAGCACTGCTTACTCAGTTATAAAGAGACGCTTTATGTTCTGTCATACTATTAGGTGACTCTTCTCAGAAACGTGACTTTTCCTATTGCTCCTTGCATTACATGACTGTTGATGAGAAGCAGACTTTATAGCAAAGATACAGAAGCTCTAAATCTTTGTTTTAGAGAATCAAAGCGATGTTTGTTAACATGACTCATTTTGATCTCCTCTGTAACCTTTTGTGACTTTGCTAACAGACGTGCTGCTGCATGGGAAACCCGCAAACTCAAATCTGCTTGGGTTCCATCAAGCACTTTTCCCTTGTGAGCTGTGGGACTTCATGCAGGTTGCTTCCATTTGCTGATCCTGTGTCCTCAGTTGTAAATGGGGACAGCAATTAGTACATCCCTGTTAGAGTTATAAAGAGTAAACGTGCAAATAGGTAAAGCACTGACGTTGTGTCTGACACATGGAGTACACACACGTCATCCTGTCCCCACGGGGGTGTCAGAGCTGAAATGATGCCCAGAAAGTACCAAGCACATGGGGTGACAAGCAGCACCCAAGAGCGCTGTTCTTGTGTGGTTCTTGTTTAAAATGCAGTGCAAATGAACTGCTTGAATTGTACCGTTTCTTCAGCCAGGGAGGCAAAGAGTCACAGGGAAACAGAACCACCTGCCAGACCAGAGCAGATCTGAGAGTGCTGACAGAGGGCACGGCAATCAGCCCGAGGGGCCTGGACCAAAACAAAGTGTTCCTGCAAACAGGCGGATGCTGCGCAGACACACAGTCGAGGACACAGTCGTATCCCAGAACCCAGGGACTGCCGGCCACCTAGCCACTTCCCGAGAGGCTGATGTCATGTCCCAGTCTTAGTGGCAATAAGCAGTTGTTACATTGGCTGCCAAGAAGTGAGTCCTTGGCAGGGAGGTGCCAAGCAGGAACACAGCTGAGAACTGAAATGTACTTTCTGTTGGATTTGCAAGAAAAGTGGAAAGTTCCTGAAAGCTGTTCTGTGGCTCAGGGAAGGAATGCGACCAAGAAAACGATCACCATCTCTTTTCTCTCCAAAGCTGGTGCGTGCGCTGGAGAAGGAGTGCACACTGACTCCAGCAGTGTCCAGATTCTTAAGAGCAGGCATATGTTTCTTCTGAAGTGGCAGGAGCTCCCTGGCTCCCGTGCGAGGTTTCATGACCAGATTCTGACCTCCTCCTAACGAAAGGTGCTAACCTCCGTGATGTGGACGAACGAGCAAACCATAGGCCGAAAGAATTCCTCCATCTGGGATCAGCTGAAGAGAAGCAATTTAGGTTTCATGGTACCATGGAGGCCAGGCAGAAGCGACACGTGGGAATGAGGAAGAGGACTGGAAAATGTTCCTTTGCAAAGCAACACTTGAACCCAAAGATGCCTACATGCCGTTTTGATGTTCATTTTAATGAAAAGGACATTTAGGACCTATTCTACACTATGTATGTGGGAAAAGTTGGGTATAATTTTTCTTCCAACCAAGTACAGATATTTGATCGCTGCACCTGTATCAGTCTCTTGAGACACATCCCCTTCCGTTAAAAACCTCCCTTAGATGTCACACCTGACTGATGGTTACTGAACAAGAGAGATTTGGCACATCTTTTCTTAGTCTTTTGATTCAGATTCAAAACTTACAGCACAAACCAGGTGAGAGTTACTTTCAGTTAGAATTTATTGCCATTTATTCCTTTTTATAAATTTCTATAGATTATACTCTTATTTTTTTATGTTACTAATTGGTCTACAGCCGCAAACATGGGTTTGTCCTGAGTACATTTTCAAGTAACTTTGTAATACAGAAATGGTTTTGTGCATGTTCTTGGAAATACTTGTGTATGTATAGAAGGGAGGGGCTGATTATTTTTCTACAAAGTAATTTATGATTTCTAATTTTCTAATGTGCCTTGGATATGTGCCAAATGATGGGAAAGAAACAGTAAACTTTATGATTCTTGAGCGTGTCATGGTACACTTTTTTAGTTAATGTCTTGCTCTGGAGAGAGAGGTATTTCGCAGCCTGTCTGCTACAAACATGTGCTCTGTGTATGGAAAGATCTCCCACTGGATGGATATACATTTTTCAGTTCCTGATGTCACTGAAATATGTAAACTGGATCATTCAGAGCAGACCATTATCCATTCACCTGCTTAGGCCTGACTTAATCTAGTAGGTGCAAGGGCCCACAAAAATGTTTTTTAAAAAAATCAGATAAAAACATGAATGGAATACAGTTTCTTAGCCCAAAAAGAAAATAAGCACTGTTGCTCTGCAAATTTCTTTGTTGTTTTTCCTTTTTCTCCCAGTTTTGAAACAAAACCATCTTATTGGCAAGTTGTGGTTTGCTCCCACCCTAATTAAGACTTATCAGCACAGCCAAGTTGCAAATACACACATTTAGTATCACCTATTTTTTGGGGTGGTGCAATATAATTTTGAAAACTTTCGTGTATACCCCTATATTTATTTCTAACAGTCCCCCTGATCGGTAAAATTGTCCCAAATGAAGAAACAGGTTCAGAGAAAGAAGGGGGCTGATTTGCTTGCATTATCAGAGCGGCAGTCAAGGCCTGCTTGGTGGGGTCATGTGAACTGGCAGTTTCCAATGTGGTGTGTTCTTCTTCTGGAGATATAAATACCTTGAGTGAGACTTTTAGGGGAGAAGCTCCTTCTTGAGCTACTCTGGTAATCAGCAGGGTGAGCTACCCAAAGTGACCACCTCAATTATTTTTAAAAACTTGTTTTTCTACAACTTACTTTCCCACTTAAAACTAAACTTGATTTGACAACTCAGAAATTGGTAATGCCCAAATTTCTATTCTGCTTAAGAATGGTTTGAATTGTAAGTATTGTCAATTAAATTAGAATAACCACTCTCCATTTCCTAGGCCAAAATATACTCCACGCCCCCTTTCTGCCTTCCAGAACTTTTATCCCTGTGTACGGAACCACTTTCTATCCTCAACTGTCTCTGGAGGACAGGACAGGGGTTTGACAGTTTAAACACATTCACATAGGTATTTGCCATCGGGACAGTGGTTATTCCATAGGAGGAAGCATGTGACAAAACTTGCTAAGAATCCTCTAATCTCCCTCCAGCGTTTTTATGTAAATGAGACCTGAAGCAAAGTTCACCTGTAATAGGGATTTTTTTTAAAATCCCTGAGGGAAATTTACATGACTACCTAATTCTGTTCCTTAAAAAAAAAAAAAAAATTGATGGAACAGTTCTACTCGTTTATTTGGGAATGCTAGATGCTCCAACACTGACTTTTTTCGTGGGCCGCAGTTCCAAATTTCAAGCCTCAAAAACAGTAACCTCTCAAATACACAGTTTAAACATAGATCAGCAGTATGCTAGCTAAAGCAGAGACTAGGATTGTAAACTATTTTTCCTATTACTCTCCTGCTACTAATCCTAGTCACCTTATATAATGTTATGGACTTCCTCCTGGGGCTGGAACCTCTAAAGTTTACACCAAACAGCTCACCTGACATGTCAATTTACTCACACAAGTTTCAAAACCTAGTGGGAGGACAACGTAAGACATAACATTTAAGTTACCTGCCACTTTATCAGTGAAGAACTCGGAATATTTCTACCAAAATGTTTAACTGCTAAACTGTCTCAGCTGGATTTTAATCATTAGAAGGCAGTTCTCTTACCAACATGTTTATTACTGTTGAAGTATTACTACCAGTATCTCCCAGTTACTGTGGTAATTTTCTGCAATTCAAGTATCACTCTAGTTACAGACTGTCTTGGGTAGGGGTGATGTCAGATCATTTGATCTCAATGCCTTTGAAAAGCAGATTATAAATGAAACCAAAGCTACGAATTTTCTTATATTACATGTGAATACTACCTTCAGGAAGAATAGTTTACCTGGTTTCAGAACCTAGGTCTTGGAAATATTAGACGTTAAGTATTAGATATTAAAGTTGATCCCTCTTAATCCGTGGGTTTTAACTACCATGATGTTACTGGATGCTATTTTCTTCTTACTGAAGAGTAAGCTGGCTTCTATTTCTGCAAAGGCCATTATCCTACCTAATGCTAACATCACAGTTACAGAGGATGTATTCATGCTGCTACACGTTTCAAAACTTTTGGTGGGAAAGAAAAAATTCAAAATGCAGATCTTCTGTTCCTTCAGCTATGGTACAAAAACAACTTTGCCCAAATTGTTTTATTTTGCATAACAAGTTTATTTTTTTAAAAGGCATATAGACAATAAACAAAGTAAACAATCAGATCTTCACTTCTACCCAGTATTATCTGTCCTAGAACTGTTCCATTAAGTTCCAGTCTCTAAACATCTTAAATTTCAATAATCGTCCTCTTCATCAGAGTCCATGACTTTTCTTCTGTTGAACTGGGGGAAGGGGGAAATTAAATGAGGGTCATAACATGTTTAATAAAGCATAACTCAAGACTTTCTGAGGAGAACAAGGTCTACCTACTAGAGCAAGACGCTACATCTTTAAAACAGCTTAGTGTTTTAGGTCTATGGGGGGAGGGGAACGACAGACCCCTCAGCACGTGCAACCTTTCTCCCCAAACGTTCACCTCTTACAAAATGGAGATGTCTATGGGCTGAAACACGTTTTGTTACAGTAGATGTATATTTAACACTTATCACTTAAAATAGCAATCTTTTTCTTTTGCCATGAGCATTTGGGGACACTTACTTTAACTGTGGTTTTCTTTTCTGTTTGTTGGCTTACTTTTTCAAGGATTTCTATTAAACCTTGTTCTGATACCTAGGATAACCAGAAAGAAAAACAGTACTTTTTTTTTAAACAGTGTGTGTACCTTAGTAGACTGGTTTTAATTTTTCTGGGATGTGGGGGCAGAGGTCAAGAGGGTAGGAAAGGCAAGACGGCAAGTTCTAAGTTGGCTTAAGTTCCAAAAGAATTTTGCTCTGCTAGCCTCATTTGAGGAGGGGGGGAAAGTAGCCATCAAAATTAGCTTTCTCAGGAAAATCCAAAGTCAACATTGTGTAAGAATACCTTTATCACCTCTAGCTAACAATGATAACCACCTACACCACTGTTAAGGGTCAGGAACAGAGACACATTGCCTCTGCCCTTGAGAAGCTTAAATAAAAGATGCACCAATCGTTGTCTCTTCCACGTGCACGCTTAGGGTAAGGGGTTCAGGGCAGGACTGATTCCCACAGGCTGTGGAGGCAGCAGGTGGTTTCCAGAGCAGGTGGGGCTCATGTGGATCTTGAAGGACGGTCGGGCTCACCAGAATATACTCATCATGGCATTACAGCAGCATAATCAGAAATTTCAGCACCTCCTCATTTGCAAAACAAGCTTAACTTCTACCGACATTGGCAGTCTTTAATTGGTACCATTACAAACCTGTTTCCAGTGTAGAAGCAATTAGATGCCGACCCTAAGAGTCACTGGGTCACAAACACATCAAGGTTCCATAGCAACGTCGGTAAAGGAAATCAGAGAATTTTAGGAAAGGCAATTAATTATCTTTTAGGATTTATGGCAGATACTACATTTCTCTCCTTTATAAATTGCCTCATTAAAATAGTCAAGAATTTCTATAACCTTTCTGAAAATTGACCTTTTGAAGATATTTTTTGATAAAGTTAGGTAAGAATAGGTAAAACTGCCTCAAGGCAGTCCAAGCTTACCTTCCCACTTAGTTGTCCATATCTTGCCATCTGTATGAGGTAATTCTCTACTGCTTTAGTTTTTTCGGGCTTTACAAGTGCTAAGTTACTTACTAAAAAGAAAAAGAAGGAGTCAAAACTAAATGCACATATATAAAACTACGTGCTGACATTTCCAAAGCACTTCACAGACATATTTTGAGACT